AATATACCAGTCGTTATTTCTTATGATGCCACTCTTGATTTTGTTCATGTATCAGAATTGTTTAGCCCTCTAGGGAGTTGCTTTAGTGGGACCTGTGACAGAGGAGAAGGGGAGTGAGACCTTGATTCAGTGCTCCAATTATTCCAGGGTTCTCTCACTGTCCCCCTAGACATACTACTCATTCTCCCAACAACCATATTGTTAGTCTTCTAACATCTTCCCTGCTGCCATCTTCCCTCCTCTTTTCTCCTTATCCCAATTCTTCCAATCCTTCAAAGCCCTAGTCATGGCTTACCTCTTCTATGGAGCCTTCCTTGACTACTTCAGTCATCTCTCCACTCCCTTAGTGGCTACAACATTTACAGTTAGTGTTTGTGAGCCAACATTTAGCTGCCCTCCTATATGGGAGTCTCATCATGGAATCCCCAAAACCACCTAGTCCAAGCCCCTCCTTTTACACAACAGCCGCAGAGGTTAAGTGACTTGGTCCCTCAGGGGGGCAGTGGCAGAAGCTGGGACTGGTACCATCGTGTCATGACTGCCTACTACCCCCATGGTCTCCCCCGAAGGTATCAAGACTCTTCTGAATGCAGAAGGGACACAGTAATGGAGGGTATGAGGTGGGCCCTGTGCTGGGGGGCCAAGGTTGCCGATCTTTGCCCTCCCTTGATATTGCTTCTCAATTCTTCATCCTCCTTCCTCCTTCCCACAAAGCTCTCTCTTCTTCTCTTGTGCCCCAGGAGCAGATGGAGCAGCTGCTACTCGGGGAGCAGAGTCTAGAGGCCTTCCTGCCAGCCTTCCAGCGGGGCCGAGCCCTGGCCCATCTGCGTCGGACCCAGGCCGAGAAGCTTCAGGAGCTACTGCTAAAGCAGGAGCGGCCTCAGCCCCCACCCCACCCCCTCCACCCTCGCCCCCTCCTGCTGCAGCACCCACCAAACTTTTCCAGCTGCGCTACGCCTTGGCCCCTGCCACAGCAGCTCTGCTGCCCTCAGGGGTTGCCAGGGGCCTGCCTGCAGCACCCCGAAACCTCCCACCTCTGGACTCCCGCCCTGTCCTCCCCCCCAGTCCAGGGCTCCCCCCTGCGCCTGCTCGGCCAGGCCTCCTTGCTGAGCCCCCGGCCCCCGCAGTCAGAACCCCCCCATCGGTAGGGCTTAGAACGTGGCCCCCCTCTAGGAGGGCCCCCAGACAGACTTGATACCAGGCTCCTACCACCACCATCCTTGAGGAGTGAGGTGTTGGAGGGGCGGGCTCCCCTTCCCCCAGGACTCCAGCAAGGTCCCTGCCCCTGGAGGCAGAGCCCAGGAAAAGGGGCTCCAGGAAGATGAGACAGTGGGTAGGGCTGGGGGGGGCAGGGGACTTTGCCCCCCAGCTTTGAGGGAACTCTGCTATTTCTCTCTCCCTGGCTGGGGTGGGGGGAGGGTTTCAGGGCTGGCCAGAGCTTGCTTTTTCCCATGCCCCAAGAAGGGAGCATTCCCACATCTAGGCTTGCAGGGTGGGGGTGGGGGCATTTTCCACGATCCACCAGTAACCTGGGAAGGGGCCTTTCACTAGGCATGACGCCAGGGCAGCTGGAGATATCCTCAGATTTCTCCCTGGCCTCTTCCTTTCCTCCATCCCCTGGTTCTATTGGTGTAGCTGCCAGGAGGGCCTTCACCTAGGATGGCCAGGTAGCCCTTGGGACCACACGCTGTCCCCCTCCCCCCATAAACACATACATACACTCCAGGCCCTGGGCACCCCAGGCATGAAGGGGTGAGGGCATCGTGGCATTGGGGGGGAGGGGGCGCTTCTGTCCAGCAGCCAGAATGCCCGGCAATGAGAACGCTCTGTCCTTTTCTGTCTTGTCTCTTAGAATGGGACCCCCAAGAGGGCAGGGTCCTTGTCTTTGTGTGTTCTGTCTAGTGCCCTGCCCACCAGGCCCCTCAATAAATGTGATGGTGAAGATGACGATGAGGCCAGCCTACTGAACACTGCATGCTCAGTTCATTCCCACCTTCTCTGCTTGCACTGTCCTTCCCCTTCCTCTGTGCCTCACCAACTCTTACCTGCCCACCCTCCAGAGTCCTACCTCTGCCGTGAAGCCCACCAGGCAATAAAGTCTTTTTTTGTGTGCACCGCTTGCCCAGTTGGAAACAGAATGGAGAAGGTGTGTGTGCCAGCCTGGTCTTGGCCAAAATTTGCCAGCCGGGCTCGGGAGTGGAGCCCTCCCTTCCTTTGGCACCAGCCTGAGGGCTCCGTGGATGTCAGCACCTTGTTCCCTTGGGGCTGGCTTCCCTGGATCTGTTCCAGGCTGACCAGCTCTACCCATAATGACTATCTGCTGCTGAGAGTGTGGAGGTTGGCCCCCGGATTGGACCTTTGCTCTGGTCTTTGGCCATGTGGGGAGACAGGCCATAGCATTCGGAGCGTTAGAGCCGGAAGAGACCATTTAGACCAACCTCCTTATTTTACAGATGAGGAAACTGAGGCTGACAAATGAAGTGGCTTTCCAGGGTCACACAGTGGGAGATGGCAGAGCCCAGGCCCCCTGACTCCCCAATCCAGGACTCTTTTCACTGCATTCCTACTGCCTCTTTTTGGTATGTAGGTCGGACTCTTCCCAACATCAGCATCAAAGCCTGAGGCACGCCTAGAGGAGGACACTGAAGAAGTAGGGTGCTTGGACCAGGCCTCTGGCCAGTGCAGTGTTACAACTGAAAGGAATCAGGGATCACCTGATCTAGTGGTTTTTAACCTGGGTCTATGAGCTTGGGGTCTTCTTTTGGGACAGGGTCGCCCAGGCTGGGAGTGCAGGGACCACTCACGGGCAGGCCCAGCTCTCATCAGCACCACAGCCCTGCCCTGGGCCTTCCTCAGACCACCCAAGGTCTAGGGGCCAAACTCAGAGCAGACACCGACTTGACCCAGTTCACTGCAGCTCAGCACCTCTGAGCTCAACCCACCGACTGCCAGTCTTTGCCTCTCTAGTAGCAGGGATCATAAGCATGCCTCACCATGCCCAGCTGTGAACGTTAAAAACATTTTGTGATAACTTTATCTTGATGTCATTGGTTTCCTTTATAATCCTATGGATTTCATGCATTTAAAGCCATTCTGGGAAGGGGTCTGCAGGCTTCACCAGACTGCCAAGGGGGCCTATGACATAGAAGGAGTTCTAGTTCAGAGGGATGCGAGATTGAGAGAGAAGTGAATGACTTAAGGTCATCAGACAAAAAGAGGCAGAGTTGTGATTTGAACCCAGGTCTTCTGACTCTTTTGGGGTTAAGAGGCATGGGCAGGCCATGCATCCTACAGGACCCAGAGCATTGGCTGGAGGCAGGTAATTGAGATTGTAGGGTTCTGCATCAGCCTCTCCCCGAGGACCTCAAAGGACCATCTGGTGGGCTGGAAGCAGGTCGGGGGAGGAGGCCGTGATGTTCTCACCATGGGGACGGGCCCTTGGGAGGGGCCAATGGGCCTGCTAGGGAGAAATGTTGCCATGGCAACTGGAGGGCCCTTGAAAAGCTTCATCATAGAAGGGATTGTGTGCATGTGTGTGTGTGGGGTGACACTCGGTAGGTCACTCAGTGACCCTCTTGTACCAAATGGGCTGTGGCTTGCAGTTTCCTCTGGTGCTGGTGGAAGAGGCAAGGCTCACCACCCCAGCGGGCTCCCTCTGGGTAAGGAGGGAGAGAACCTTAGAGTAGGCTGGTTAATGAGAAACTTCATTAACTGAAGGCCCAGGATGTGACCCTGACTGGGTAGTAGAAGGGGGAGGGGAAGCAGGTGACTGGCAGGCAGCAGGCAAGCTGGGCTAGGAACAAAGGGAGTGTTGAGGATGTGATATCCAGGTCACACACACACACGCGTGCGCACACACGCACACAGGTACCTATGCACAATGAGGGATAATAAGGAAGTGCTTCATTGTTGCAGACCAAACCCCTTCCACCGGAGCAAACCCTTTCTGAATCAAGCTGCTAGCACTCGGAGGACTTGTAAGGTGGTCCACTCCAGCTAAGTCAGATCGTTCATAAATAAACCATGTCGCGGCATAGTGATCAAACTGCTTTGGCTCCTTGCTCAGACCTGGCTGGAGAAGAGATCTGTCCCTGTTCCACGAGGCAACCAGGACCACTTAATAGGCTTTTTCTTGCTTTAAGAAAATCTGAAAACTCTTTCCAGACGCAAAGGTATCAGTTAACTGATTCTTTGCTTTAACATGAGATCTAAGCAATGTATTCTTTTAATGGCCACTCTCTTCCCCAGTGCTGTTCTTTTAAAATGATACTAACATCAACCTTTCTGGAGTCCTTTTCTTGCATAAAATGAGGCATACTCGTGGCATTGAAAGAGACCACAGATCTGTTCCTCGCTTCCTCAAGAGGCTAATTTTTAACTATTCCACAACCTTGAAATGGGAACTGTGAGCAGAGACTGGAAGGGGGTGTGGCTCCCCTCCCAGTTTGTGATGGAGATGATGACATGGCAGCTTCAACCAAGTGACTTGGAGAGACTGTACCTGTCGACTTCCTGGACGAGGTCCCATCACAGAAAGCCTCAGATGGCACTGTCCTCATATGGTCTGGGATGCTGGGGCATCGTTAGGTATTGGGCTTGGCATGCTCTTGCACACAGGTAGGGCAAAATGAAAGCAGTGTGTGACTGAATCAAGATGACGATGGATGCAACATGGTGAGTCTAGATGTGGCTGCTTCTGTACAGTTTCCACTTTCTTGGACCCCAGAAGGAATTGTGGAGCCCCTGAATGTTCCCATTCTCCTAGATCAGAAGGAATTCCTTAGGCCAAGGCCTTGGAAAAACCTCTCTTGTGGTTAGGGGTGAGGCAGCTGAAGCTGCCTGATTTTTTTTTCAGGTCTAAGCTCTACCCTATTCAGTGGTACCCACCCAAATAGGGCCAGGAGGATGGGGCAGGGGAGACAAGAATGAGTTTGGTTAAAAAAAAAAAGCTGGGTAGCCCTCCTCCTCCCAAACTTAATCAATTCAGCTGTACTCTTTCAATCAATTAACAAGTATTTATTAAGTGCCTTAGTGCCAGGAAGTGTGCAACACACTATGGACACAAATACAGAAATGAGACAGAAACGAGAGTCAAGAAATACACAGCCTGAAAGACGGGGAGGGAGAAGAGAATCCTTGAACCCACATCTTCTAGGGCTTTAAACTTCATCAATCATTCCCTCTCCCTTCCATCTTTCAATATTAGTGTATCACTCCTTCCAATAATAACAGGTCACATTTATATAACACATTATGGTTTAGAATTTTTTTTCATCACCCCCTTGAGAAGTAGCATTGGCAATATTATCCCCATTGGACAGGATCAAAAGAAGACCCAGCAAGGTTGCAAGGTTGGCTGAACTGCTCAAAGGCACACAGCACTGTAGCTGGGGCTCAAAACCAGGGCTTGGGATGCTTGGTCTCGAGGTGCTGTGGCTGAAGAATTTGGCATCTTTTGGCTTACATGAATAACCTCTCTGAACGTGGCTAGGCTGGTCCTGGGACAGGATACAGGCCTATACTTGAAGCCTTTCTGTCTTGGCAGGCAGAAGTCGCCAGAGTTGTTTATGGTCTGCTGGCATCTCCTCCATGCCAGGCTGAGACACTGGAGGACAGCATTAGTGGAGAAGGGTCTGGAACATAAACATTTAATTGAATTAAAATGTATTACTGGTCAGTGACATGGAAGTGAGAGCAAGCAGCTGGAATCTTATCTGCAGTGAAGAAAGGGGGTGCCTGGTTAGGGTGATGAACCACCAATCTACACCTTCTTGGAAAGAATATGGGGAATGAGCTCGGCCTGGCTGATTTTGAAGCACAGAGGGAGGATTCAGCCAAAGACCTCCGGTGAATCGGTAGTGGGGCCTCTGAAGGAAACGAAGCATCTCGCTCCTTTGTGCCTCGGCTAGCTCTGAATCCCCTGGCCTTGACTGGGGGGACAAGGAGGAGACGAGCTCCCCAAGGACACTCGTACCTTCCTTTAGAGCATGGCACCATACTCTAAAGGTTACTGCTCCCCAACGTCCCTGGCCTGTCCTTTTCTCTCTGTTGTCATCCTATAACCACTTCACACAGGTCATCCCCTTCCTCTTGCCTGGACCACGGCAGTGGCCTCCTGGATGGTCTCTCTGGACTCAGTCTCTCCTCACCCCCTGCTCTCCAATCTGCAGAGATGCCAAACTGACATCCCTAATTAGTGCACATCTGACACTTCTTCACTCAAGAAACATCTGTGGCTTCCCACTGTTCTTAGTATAAAACATACACTCCTCTGTCTGGCATTGAAAGCCCTTTACCATCAGGCTTGGGCAGATCTTGCCAAGCTGGTCACACCTTCTACTTCCAGCTAAACGAATCCGACTTGCCGGTCTCAAACAGTCTGCCTCCCCCCTTGCTACTTCTGCCCAAGCAATGCCTCATACCTAGTGCGCTCTCCCTCCCAAGTCCCTTTCCTGATCTGTTCAAACATCATGTCTCTCAAGAGGCCTTTCCTGGTTCTCCTAGTTGTCTTACCCCTCCCCAGCGCTGCATTTCTTTTGCAGATAGCCCATATTTACTTTCTTACCCACATATCACACTCTGTAGAAGTTCTGAGGTCAGAGAATATCTACCACTTCTGTCTTTGAATCTCCAGTAGCTGGGCCAGGGTAACCTGGCTAGATTTGCTGTTGAAAGCAATCTCAATTCTGATGCAACAGCACAAAGATCACCACCTGGGGTCAGAGGGCTCCTCTCCAGATCCCTCTTCCCAAATCCAGCTTCAAGGGCTGGGGAGCTCAGGACACTGTGAGGGAAACCAGTTTTAGCTTGCGGCCTTCTTCCCAAGCCACTCGTTCCCTCCTGTTGGGGTAGAAGAATTTGCATGGCTAAAGGTGGCAGAGGCATCCGGCTCAACTTCTAGGGAAAGTCTAGTCTCCCATGGCTGCTTATAGGGCTCCCAGGGAAAGGAAGCACCACCTAGAAACAATCCACCAATGGTGACGTTGGGAGCTGAGGTGGCTCCTGGCAATACAAAGGCCTTTAGGGTTCACAGGGAGAACAGAAAGGCAGGTGAGGCAGCAGAAGTGCCTTGGCTCCCAGGAACACTGTGCTCCCATTCTCAGGGGTTACTTAGGTTCTAGGACTTATCTGACATCCTAGCAGTCCCGATGTGTGTTAGAAAGGACACTGGAAAATCTTTGGGTCACAAGACCTGGCTCTGAGCTCTAATTGTGACCCTCCCTGCTTGGGTGACCTTCCTTAGCTAACTCTTCACCTTCTGACCCTGTTTCTTCAGCTGTGAAATAGAGCAGCTGCTGCTTGCACTGCTCACTAAAACGGGTTGTTGTGAAGAAAGTGCTTTATAAACCTTAAGGAGTTCTACGAGTGTCAAGTACTGCTGTTAGAATTGACACTGAGCATTTGACAGGAGCCTGTTATAGAGATTTCAGGCTGGGAATCCAGCGTGAGTGAAAGCTGAGGTAAGGGGTAGCAGGGGGAAAGGGCAAGGAAGTTCCTCTCCTTAGGCCCTGGGGTCTTGCTCCTCCATGATAAAATTACATTCCTGTCACCCCAGCAGCAGGGGACAGGGAAAACACACAAGGTCAAGATGGATCTTACCTTTCAAGTGTAAAGAGAAATTCTGTAGAAATGTTTAAAGCAGCAAGACAATTCAGTCCTTCTGGGCTTAGAAATGCCTTCCAGGGGTCCCACCTTATTCCTATCAGCTGAGTGACCCTGGCTGCTGAATTTGACCCCACTGTTGGCTTCCTAGGCCAAGTTTTAACCTCTGCTGCTCCAAATCTTGAGCTGTTTTAAGCGGCTGTCATGCCATCATTGATCCCCATAGCTCCCCAGGATGAAACGGACAATGCTTATTGCCTGGCTGGCCCTCTGGCTGGGGGACAGGCACACAACACAGGAAGGACTTATCTAAAGACACCCAGGAAACTGGATGCCAAAAGCTCAGAAGAAAATGATGCATCTTGCTTTGAGATAACTGGGATATTTAAAGGGCCAGAGCAGTCTGCTGCAAGAGAAAGAGCCCAAGGAAGCAGGTTTGTTCAGGGAATTTAAATGGGAAGCTCTGACCAGGCACAAAGGGAAAAGACAACTTAGGCACGGACAGTGTTAATCTCCTGGCCCAGCGAAACAGCTCTTTCGGATGAAGCCCTGCTGATTCTGCACAGACTACATCTCTTTGCAACAATAACAGATGCTCAAACCTCATTTAACTGTATTTTGAGATATATCCCTCACTCTAAACCAGGCCTGGAATGGGTTGGCTTAAACCTTCCCTCAGCTGCTTCTATTGGGACAGCAAATACTTGCCTCCAAATATTCTTTCTTCCCTAGGCTTTTGAGACACCACACTCTGACCCTTCCATAGCTTCTTCCCTGGCTCCTCATTCCTCTTCCAACCTCTTATGGAGGTAGCTGACCAAGAAAGGGTCTGACCTGGGCCAAATCTTAGTGATTTCACTCTCTCCGGGGCTTCAGTCATCACCTCTAAACAGAAGACACCCAAATCTTTCTCTAGTCTTGACTTTTCTCCCAAGTCCCAAACCCATTAGTTCAGCTCCCTCCATCCCCAAGTGAATGCCCTACTAGTATCTCAAACTCAACAGTTAAGTCTAAAACTGAGCCACCTATTCATCTTTTCCCTTAAACTTGCTCCTCGTGACCCCACAATCTGTCAGAGGCATCAATCGCCATTCAGTCCTCCATGTTTAAAACCATGCCTTATCTCTAAGTTCCTCCTGATTTTACTCTCATGTCCAGTGAATGACCAAACTGTCTCCACCACCGCTACTGAACAGACTCTCATCACCTGCTTGGACCAATGCAGTAACTTCCTTCCATTTTCTGTGTTCTAGTTAAACCCAAACATCAAATCTCACAATGTTAGGGGCCCCTTTGCGTGGAACTGTTAAAATTTTATCGGCCATTTATCAAAGAGGCGGTTTTTTGTGCCTAACACATAGTATATCTTATGCTTGTCCCAACGATACTGACTTTCCTCCCAAATCCCTCCACCTTTTAGTGGGACATGAGTTTTCCTGCCATTTCTCCAGCTGTGGGGACAGAATGCACAGCATCAACTGTGAATAGTACAGTCTGTGCTCTGGAATACTTTTTATTGTGGTAAACTGATTGGGAGAAAAAGCAAACCTGGCCGCATTGGCACCATCCACTTCAATAAAAGATGGGCCCAGAATCACACAGATCTTAGAAACAGAAAGGACCTTGGAAGATCATTTGATTTGGCCATCTGCTTTACACAGGCACTGTACAGATGAGATCTATGTTCAAGTAATTTGTGCAAGGCCACATAGAAAACAGACCCCTCATTTTCCAGAGGTTTAAGGGACCTGCCCAGGGTCCCAAAGCTAAGGAACTGTCTGAGGCTGGATTTGGGTTTCCTGCAGCCAAGTCCAAGCTTTACCCAACACTTGACCATCTTCCCATCAGCTGCCTTCTCAGTAAAATCAGCCCAGTGTTCCTGGATGACTGGTAACAAAGACAAAACCCGGTGCGGATTCATTCAGATGAGGTTCATTTGGCTTTTCACTCGGGGTGACAGGAAGGCCCCCAGCACCGGGACAAGGCTGGCAAACTGCACGATCCTAGGGCGCCCCGCTCTTAACGGCCCCCAGCACCGGGCGCACCCCTGCCTCCCGCCAGGAACCAAGGGTCCCTTCACCCCGGGCCAGGGAAGGGTCGGGTCCTTCGGGGTTCCGCGGGCCCCGGAAGTCACGGCCAAGGCCGGGCTACTTGATGTGCGAGAAGCCCAGGAAGCCCAGGAAGAGCAGCACGACCAGGAGCAGGCCGTCGTCCCAGCGCGGCCCGGAGCGGGCGCGCGCCTCACGGTCCTTGCGCATGGCCTCGCGCCAGGCCCGCAGCCGCTGCTCCCGCTCCAGCTGTTCGCCGTAGTGCGCGCGGTAGAAGGCGTCGAAGTCGAACATGTGCCGGCCCCCCGGCGCGGGGCGCGCACGCTGGGGGCCCGAGGCAGCGTGCGCGCGCGTGGGCCTCGGAGGCGAGGGGGACGGGGGCGCGCGCGCTGCCCCCAGCGCGTGCCCGGCGCCCAGCAGGCCGCGGTCGTACTGGCGGCGCAGGGAGGGGCTGCTCAGCACCATGTAGGCCTGGCCGATGCGCATGAAGCGCTCCGCCGCCTCCGCGCTGCCCGAATTGCGGTCCGGGTGGTAGAGGAAGCTCTGCCGGTAGTAGGCCGCCTTGATCTGCGCCTGAGTGGCCGTGACTGGGACGTCCAGCAAGTCGTACAGCGCCGTGCGGGAGTATCGGGAGGAGCCGCCGCTTGCCTGATCCTTTCTAGCCCAGGAGCCGCCGCCGCGGGCGGTGGAGCTGGCCCAGGCTTCCTTCCGCCCGGCGGACCGCAACAGCGGAGACCACCGCCGGCCGCCCGGGGCCGTCATCTTGTGCGGGGCGGGGCTGGCGAAGGAAGGGCCGGCCCGTGAGACGGGGCGGGGTACCTGACGAGCCCTCCTCGGGGCCAATCGCGGCGAGGAGGAAGACAGGACAGAGGAAGGGGCGGAGCGAGGGCGTGCTTCCTGTGCGCCTGCGCACGCACGGGGCGTTGACGTGAGCAAGGCGCCGTGGAGGCTGTTGGGCGCGAGGGGCAGCGCCTGAAAGATGACGTGGACGCCGCGCTGAGGAGACTTCCGGAGTGCGGCCATGGCGTGCAGTGGCCGAAGGCCGGAGCACCGCGGGCCTCCCGAGCTGGTGAGGCCCCAACCCCCTTCCCCGCAACCCCCGTCCCCGCCGCCCCTGTCCCCCCTCACCGCCACCCTCTCTCTCTCTCCCCCACAGTTTTACAACGAGGACGAGGCCCGGAAGTACACTCACAAGTAAGAGCCGGGCCGGGGAGCGGGCTTTTAGGGGTCTGGGGGAAGGTTGGGGAGCCGGAGGAGTGGGAGGGGGCTGCGACCACTCTCTGGGGCGAGCGCAGGGCTTGGCGTCAGGAAGAGCGGGGTTCAGATGCGCGGCCAGCCACTACATCGCGGCCTGCCTCGGTTTCCTCAGTTGTAAAACGGGAATAACCACGGCCCCGACCTCCTGGGGTTCTTGTGAGGACCAAAGGAGATAATGTCCGTGAAGTGCCGGGCGGATGTTGCCGTTATTGTTGCCGTTAATGCAGCTGACGTCTTAGGAGAAGGGGTCTGTCGGCATCAGTGAATGCCGCGGGTCTGGGGCACGAGGAGGGGCATGAGGTGCCCCAGTGCCCCTTGGGTGACTTTGGGGGGGGAATGGGTTGTGAGTGACCCCGAGCCTCCCAGGGCCCCTGGGCAACAGTGGGGACACCCAGTTTAACGTTTGTCTGGAGAATGAATGGACGCGTGTTGGAGAGAACGGCCTGGGGTCGTTCTTAGGTCCTAGGGCGTCATAGCTCGTGGCTCCCCATCGGAGAACCTGTGACATGCACAAGGCTATTTGCACCTTTGAGATCTGGGCCTGGAGTCAGGGGTGGGAGACACCGATGAAAAGAGTATGCTACTTTTTCTGCATCCCTAGTGTTTGCTTTCATTTGCTAGTTTGACATTCTCTTACTGAGAAAGACGCACACCTTTGGGAAGGAAAGCAAGTGCCTGAGTGCCGAGGTCACAGAGAGCTGTAGTAGGGTTGGTATTTGAAGCAGGTCTTCTGATTCCAGATGCAGTGTTGTTTTCTAACTGCTCGGTGCCAAATAAAAAGCATGGACCAAGAGTGGATGGAGAGGCTGAGATGGGAACATTGCTCACCGGGGATGATGATTTTGCAGGGGAATTGGGACTTGAGATGGGTGCTGAAGGATGGGCAGAGCACAAGTCCTTGCCCTTGGGTGGCAAACATAGGACAAGAATAGAAGAGGAAGGGGCCTAGAAGAAGGCAAAGAAAAACAAGGTATAAAGAGAGCTCCGAAGGTGCTGTTCGTGCCATAGATTCCACGTTGGTCATCCCAGACTGCTCTGGTGTGGGGCTGCTTATATGATAGAGAGAGTAGAATGATCTGTCAGTACATGGATGGTAACTGTAAAGTGCAGTTTCTCATTTGAACTTAGTTTGTTACCCCAGATGAAAAGGTCAGTTAAGAGAGAATCATCTTGATCTGGCTGCATTTTTTCCTTTGCTTTTTCTTGATTTTGCCTGGAGACTGTGCAAAAACAGTCATTGGCTAGGAGAGGTGTTCACTTATGCCCTATCCCTCGTTTCTCTGCTTCCAGCTCACGGATGATTGAAATCCAGACACAGATGTCAGAACGGGCCGTGGAGCTCCTCAGTCTACCCAAGGACCAGCCCTGCTTCCTGTTGGACGTTGGGTAAGATGTCTGAGCTTTTTTTTGAATGTCAAGTTGTGCGATCGTCATTGACCCTCAGTCCCTGACCTTTCGTCTGCTTTTGCCTTCCAGGTGTGGTTCTGGGCTCAGTGGTGACTTCATCTCGGAGCAGGGGCACTACTGGGTGGGCATTGACATTAGCTCTGCCATGCTGGGTGAGTGAGGCCTTTCAGGTGTTTCGTGTACTAGTTTAGTATAAGCAGCTGGATATGCTAGCCTGTCTTCTCTAATATGGTCATCTTTGAATAAATAGATGTGGCTGTGGATCGAGAAGTGGAAGGAGACCTGCTTCAGGGGGACATGGGTCAGGGCATCCCCTTCAGGCCAGGGTCATTTGATGGTTGTATTAGGTAAGATGTGTCACTGACATATGCTGGGGGGAGTGGCCATGTGGAAGAGCATTGTCGCTGTTAATGTGAGTGCTCATTGTGACAGGCAGCTTAGCACCTTGGACAGAGCTCTGGGCTTGCAGGCCAGAAGACCCAGGCTCTTGTCTCAGACACTCAGTAGCTTCCTGACCTCACGTTGGAGACACCGTGATCCTCAAGTGGCTTAGAGATCCCACACCTACCTGTATTCTGGTGTGATATGTACAGCGTCACTGGGGCTGTGTTAGCAGAACCTCCAGAGGGCAATTCCTTTTAGAGCTTTTTTTCTAAAAAGGACAGATGAATAAATGCCATGTGTCTCATTTAATATTTGGGTGGTGTGATTTTTGGGAGATCTATGTAGTTGTGGAGAGTGGCAAAAATCATTACAGGTAGAGGAGCATGAGCTGAGTGGGTAACCTCATTCATCCACCCTGGGTTGGAGAAATTTGAGGGGGCTGTTCAGAGGTGGGTCATGGCTAGGGTGTTGAATCACTCTTCCCCATTAGGGAAGACTTCTTGGAGAGAGAAAGATTAGAAGAGAATGCTGAGAAGAGAGGCCATTGGAAGGACATTTCAAGGAGGAAGGGGTACTTATTTAAAAGCTCAAGTGCATCCTTGTCTAATCATGAATTTTTGACTTTACTTAAAAAGCAATTCAGGCAAAAGCAGGCCAGTATAGGGTCTCAAAGGAAAAGTAGCTTGAGCAACTTTGAATCAGTTTACTGCAGAAGTGAGCAGAAAGGTTGGATAGAATAGAGGCTGAGAAAATATCTTGGTGTTCCTGTAAGAAGTTACCGATGACCTTGTTGGACATTCTTGGGTTAAATGGTAGAAGTAGAATGAGTCCAAACTGAGAGGAAGCAGGAGCACTGAGATAATAGTCTTGGAACATGGGGAGGCATTGGAGTTGGGCGTCAGGCAGGCACGCCAGGCTTGGCTGAGCTCCTGAAGAGGCCTTTGGGCTCTCTCTTCAGCATTTCTGCTGTGCAGTGGCTCTGCAATGCTGACCAGAAATTGCACAACCCTGCCAAGCGCCTGCACCGGTTTTTCTCATCCCTCTATTCTGCTCTGGTGAGTATGAGATCTCCAAGGCTTTTTGTAGTGGCCTTTGGACCCTCCGCTGTATCAGGTCGCTGTCTCTGTTGCTTCACATGGTAGCTGGGGCCTGGCCAGAGACCCACAGTGTCCATTCTTCTGCAGGCCCGAGGAGCTCGAGCGGTCCTGCAGCTGTATCCCGAGAATGCTGAGCAGGTCAGTCTGCTGGATGGGGATGAGCTATTGAGTCAGGGTCCAAACCAATGGCATTTAAGAGTTGGAAGAGGGACAGAGGCCATCTCTTCCAACCCGTACCTGAAAAGGAATACCCTGTATATCATACCATCTTTATTTGGGGTAATTCTATGTATTTTATTTTATTTACTTTAAAAGACTGCACTGTTCTAAGAAGGGGTCCATAGGCTTCATTGGGTCCCCAACACAAAGGTTAAGAACCTTTTCTCTAAGGGTTAGGAAATTTTCCCTTGACATTCCCTTTACCACCGTCCTGGGCAGCTGTGGATCTCTCCCTTCTCTGTGTCTGATGGGAAGACATCGGTCCCTTCTCCAGAATCCAGATTGGGGCTTGAGACAATCAAGAACATCAGTTTCCACAGTAATTTACAAGAACATCCTTCCCTAGAGGGGAAGTGGGCCCCAAAGGTCTTTCAGAGGAGGGGGTGACTTCAGGTGAATTCAGGTCTGTTTCATCATGATGGGCTGTGGACTTAATTTCTTCTTGTAGGATGGGGAGGTTTGATTTCGCCATAAGGTGCGGTGTCTAAGCCACAGGCCTCAAACCCTCGGCAGCTCTTCTGGAGCTCAGCTGGAGCTCTTGGAGTAGTTGAGGTTGTTTTTTGGTCTAGACTTAGGACTTCCCTGGCTAGGGGCTTCCTGCTGAGGAAATGCCTGCCAGTGCAAGTTGGAAACCATTCTTATAACCCCCAATAGGCTTAATGAGTTGTCCAGTCATTTTCAGGTTATGGAACTTGTTTGTGACCACATAGTCAGTTTCAAAATTAAGCAAACAAATATTTATTAAGTGTTTTCTTTGCACCAGACACTGTACTATGTGCAGAGAAGAAAGGCAAAGAATGAAACTGCCCCTCTTTCTAAAACTGTAATTCTTATTCTATGACTCCTTTAGGGCTCTGAGCTGGGAGTGCAGCTTGGGAAAGAGGTCTTTGCTCTCTCCTCTTTGTTCCAGAGGCATCTCTGATGGCCCACTGGCTTCAAGAGAGACTGAGAGGGGGCCAGTTGTACCCACCCCCCTTCTTAAGCCTAACCCCAGTGTTTCTTTCTCTGGGCTCAGTTGGAGCTGATCACCGCGCAGGCAATGAAGGCCGGTTTCACTGGAGGTATGGTGGTGGACTTCCCCAACAGTGCTAAAGCTAAGAAGTGAGTCTGGGGTCGTCATCCTATCCCTGATGTGAGAAACGCCAGACAGAAGGGCACTGGTAGTGTTTGGCACATCTGGACACTGCCAAGGTGGGAGGGGGAGGTCTGATGCTGGGGTTGGGCTATGGCAGGGGCCCTCAGTTTTGGTGCAGTGTCCCTTTCTTTGCCCCCGATCGCAAATAAAGTTCTCAACTTAAGGGAAGATGATGGCATGTGCTTTTTCTTTCAGGTTCTTCCTCTGTCTGTTTGCTGGCACATCAGGTGTGTTGCCCAAGGTAAGGATGTATGTCCTGGTTGAGAGTGCATGGAGGATTGGCCCATTTACTCTCTAAGGGAAGGGGATAGGATTGCGGCTTGTAAGTCAGGGGAGGACACTTGCTCAGTGCCCATGATGTCTATCACAGGCTGATAGACATCCTTTAAAGTTTGGTTCTTTTCAAGGGGTGGCCTTGTACTTGTTGTATCAGACTCATCTCTAGTTACCTCTGAAGGAGTCATAACCTCGGTTGGTTTTTCCCTGTGGCTGAAGTCATATGTGTGTGCATGCATGCGTTCATGTGTGCGTGTGTGTTGCTGAGCCAGTCCTAGAATCAGGTGGTGGGTGACCATGTTTTGGTGGGTGTATGTGTTCCCAGGCTGGTGCCCTTCCTACCATGGTGCATTCACTGCCTTTTGACCCTGACTCTTCTTGCAGGGCCTGGGCACTGAGTGTGGAGATGGGCAAGAGGTGAAAGAGTCCAAGTTCTCCAATGAAAGGTAAAGAAACTTCTGTCCTGGCCTCATTCCTGAACAATTTGGTAAAAGACGAGGGAGAAAGAGTGGGGCTCAATTTGGAGAGCTCTGACTATACAGTCAGAAGCCCCAGGCAGGGTGGAGGAAGGCCCCTGCTTTGGAGGGATGGTGGATTTCCCCGTCCTCCCTATGTTTTACTCTAAACAGAGAGGTAGGTAGTGTTGTTAGAAGTCAGTGAGGCACTGTGCCGACTTGCCATTTTAACTGCTCTCCGTTCCTGCCCCTTGAAACCAAGGCTAGCTGATGCTCTCTGGTAGAGCCAGACACTCATGTGTTTCTATTTACATGTGTACATTGCAGCTTGGTTAAGGAGCCTTTTTAGGTCTTTTCCGGTGAGACACTAAGAGTGGAATTCATAATTGCTAAACTAAGGAAAGAAAAAATGAGAGAACAGGCTTGGAACAAGTGAGGGGAATGAGGGATTTTCTGGAATGAAGTTGGATTGTGTGGCTCACGGGCCAAACAGTTCTGATCCAGGTTTGGTGGGTGGTGGCACTGACCCAGGCTGCCCGTCTTCTTGGGTGTCTCTCAGCCACGGGGCTGCTCGGATGTTTTCCCTCTGCAGCCAGGGCAAGGGACCAAGAGCATCATGGGAGGACTGTCGTCGGGGCTGCCCATAGCTGAGGTTGCCGCGTTTTCCTGCCTCAGACACTTGTGTGCCTATGAGCTGGTGACTAAGTGCTGACTGGGAAAGTGAGTGAGGGGCGAGGGTGCTGCCCTGGCCAGCCTGCGAGTTTTGGGGCTATGCCGGGCCTGGGTTAAGCAAAGGCGCTCCACTAGCCCTCCAAATTGTCAGTGGAGTCGGAGGGATCTCAGAGGTCATGCAACACTAAACTCTGTCATATTACAGATGGTGAAACTGAGGCCCAGGGAGGGCAAGGCATACTCAAGTGACAGTTTGGTAGCAGTCTGGACTAAGCCAGGACTATGGGCTCCCAGTCAAGTGTTACTTTCTCTTTGTCTTTCTCTTTTTTTCTTTTTTCTTTTTTTTTTCTTTTTGGTGAGGCAGTTGGGTTAAGTGACTTGCCCAGGGTCACACACCTAGTAAGTGTCAAGTGTCTGAAGCTGCATTTGAATCCAGGTCCTCCTGACTCCAAAGCTAGAGCTCTATCCACTGTGCTACCTAGCTGCCCCTGTTGTTAACTTTCTCTTGCTCCCAATTTTTAATGACTTTTCCAGAGTCTGGGGGACTTTTCTAAATTTAAGAAGCAGAACTTTCTAGATTACATATTATTTTATGTCATTATATAATTTAATATAATTATATCATGTTAATAATAATGTTTTTCTTTTTTTAACATTACTGCCAGTTGGGCTAGCCCAGTGACTTGCAGGTCCCAGAAGCGAGTCACTGGCCAAGTGCTGTTCTTCAGCACAGCCAGCTCTGCTATGGCTTACCTGGACTGAGCCACCCTGGCAGTTGGCCCCTTTTTGCCCCGATGGGAACAAGTGGTTGTCTGCTAGCCACAAGTGCCTGTGGGTCCAGAGTGGCTGGAATGCAGAGCGGAAGCAGTACTAGATAATGAATGGGAGTGTGTCTGAGGAGACAGTAAGACAGGGTGCCCACTCTCAGAGGACTTGGGATTTTTCCATGGAGATAAGGCACGGGCAGAACTCTGAGGTACAGAGCACTAGACTCAGATGAGGAAGGATGAGAGCAGCTTCATGGAAGAGGGGCTTTGGAGCTGGGTCGCTGCTGGTCAGCAGGAGGAGGTTCAGGGCTTGAGGAGGGGGCAGCTGTGGTGTGACCTGGCCCCATCCCAGGAGGGGTTACTTCTGGGGCTGGAGCTTCTTCTGGACAGCTGCCCCCGATGCCAGCATTGTGTGAAGTCTGCTATTAGCACCTGGAGGAGAGAATCGAAATGAGAGAGAAGGAGTGATCGTTAATAAGGTGGTAGAGGGGGCAAGCTCAGGGGAACCCAGCGTGCTCTTTATACAAGCTCACAATTCCTCCTCCCTCCAAGGATCCGGTATAAGACAGCAAAGGGGAAGTCTGTGAAGAAGAGCCGAGACTGGATCCTGGAGAAGAAGGAGCGGCGGCGGCGGCAGGGCAAGTGAGTGCATGGACGTCCGTGTTGCACTCCAGGCTCTGGAGCTAAGAAATGGAGGTGGAAAAAACCCCATCTCAGAGCAAAGCCCTTTGAGTGAACGTGGATTAGCTATTTTCAAGTCCCAGGAATGAATCTTAAAATACGCCTAGGCTAGGTGGGGTGTTGAGGGACACTGCCTGCTTCCTCCCCCAGCATTTGCTAGTACTCCCTGTCGCTGATCCTAATTACAGAGCCCCATTGGTAGCAGAATGTGGGCTAAAATGAGAGGGAATATATTCTTGTCTGGGTTGGTAGATGGCTTGTCCCAGCCTGGACCTTGGCTCTGCAACCTGGGTCTGAATGTATTCTCTGCCTTGTGGTGTAAACCGTGGCCTCTGAGGAGCTGCTTTTAATACACCTTCTTCTTCATTTCCCTTTCTGACTGCCTCATTCCCACTTTCTCGTAGGGAGGTTCGAGCTGATACACGTTACACTGGCCGCAAGCGGAGGCCCTCACTTTTGAGCAGCTCCTCATATCCTTTGGAGCCAATTCAGAACTCACACCCTTTGCTGTTGGGCAGCTCCAGCTTGTGTCCTGTTTGTCTGCCACAATCCAGCCTTGGCTGTAGGTTGACCTGCTGCTGCTGTCCGCCTTCCAAGAGAGCAAGGCAGAAGCATCTGTTGGTTCCAGGGCCACGGGGCTGGGCCCCTGCGATTTTCAACTCTCCATTTGTGCCTTAACTTTGCTGACTCAAGGGATCATTACAAACCATAGATTCTTCAGAAGGGGCAGATTTGGCCAGGGGCCTCGGGGTGCAGAAATGTAGGGGTGAGGCCTGTGCCTGGCCCACTCCTGTTCTCTGGTCTTTCTGTTTGGAAGAGCCTGCCCAACAGTGAAATGACATCACAGGCATTGGGAAGGGCCCTCCAAAAAAAGACTTACAGTTATTTCATCTTATTTTTGAATAAAGTAAAACTTGGCAAAAGTGAAATAGTCTTGAAAGTTGATATTGTACTTAATGTACATGATGTGACCACTTTGCATTTTACTGACTTGACTTCAGCTGGGCCCAGAATCCCAGGCTTAGAGATGGGGAGTTGTAAGGGCCTTTAGAGCCCATGTTGTCCAGTCCTCTCATGTGCAGATGAGAAAACTGAAGTCCTGAGATGGGATGTGATTTGGTCAAACTGACTCCCATGCAGAGCTCATTCCGCTCTGCCATCCTGCTTGGTGAGCCATGAGAGCGGAGGGTACTGAAGAGAAAAGGGACGAGCGCGTAGTGAGAGGTGGGCCAAAAGGGGTAGTCGAAATCCCGGCTAAACTGCCAAGAGCAGTCACTGCAGCCTGTCCCTTCCCAGCTGGTCCTCAGCAGAGGACCCTTTGTAGGGGGTGGGATACTGGGAGCCCTACCTCCTTCACCTGTGAGGCTGTTCCTGTTGGCTTGAGATCTAGTGACAGCCCCGGGAAGCCCTGGATTGGTTTGTAGGGAGGGACCAGGGTCAGATTGTGCCACGTATCGGGCACTGTGCGATAAGAAAGAAAAATGAGGAAAGGTGACTTGCCCTTCATTCTACTGGGTGCGTTTTGGGGGGAAAGATGGGGTTTTTTTGTGTGTGTTGTTTCTGTTTTTTAGGTTTTATATATATATATATACGTTCCTATTAAACATATTTTCACATTAGTGATGTTGTAAGGAAGATTTAGAACCAATAGGAGGAACCACCAGAAAGAGGAAACAAAACACAACACAAGAAAAAAAATAGCGAATAGTATGCTTTGATCTGCATTCAAACTCCACAGTTCTTTCTTTGGATGTGGATAGCATTTTCCATCATGAGGCCTTTGGAGACATCTTAGATCCTTGCATTGCTGAGAAGGGCTTTTATATCAACATTAGTATGTAGTTTCCTTCCTTATCTCTTTTGATAAGATCTAGTTTTGCTTTTGCTTTGAGATCAGGATTGCTACCCCTGCTTTTTTTTTTTACTTCAGCTGAAGCATAATATATTCTAATCCAGCCTTTTACCTTTACACTGTGTGTGTCCCTCTTTCAAATGTTTCCTGTAAACAACATATTGTAGGATTATGGTTTTTAATCCATTCTGCCATCCGTTTGCTTTTTGTGGGAGAGTTCATCCCATTCACATTCACAGTTATGATTACTCTCTGTGTCTTTCTGTCTGTCCTTCCCCCCCCCCCGTTTATGTTTTTCTTTCTTTCTCCTTTTCCCTCCTTACTAGTGTTTTACTTCTGACCACCTCAGTCCTGTTTCCCTTCTATTAGCCCCCTCCCTTTTCTTCCCCTTTATCCTTACTACTTCTTCCCTCCTTCTGTCCTCCTTCCTTTTTCTTTCCCCTTTTCCCTCCTACTGCCTGTAGGGCAAGTTAGATTTTTATACCTAACTGATTATGTTATTCCCTTCTTAAGCCAAATCTGATGAGGGTAAGGTTCAAACAATGCTCATCTCCCTCCCTTCTTTCCCTCTGCTGTAATAGGTTTTTGTGCCTTTTCCTGTAATGTAATTTACCCTTGTCTGTCTCCTCTTTTCTTTTTCTCAGTATATTTTCTTAGATCAGATTAACCTACTTACTTGGATCCGTTTAACCTATTTGATTAGATTTTTTTTTTTATCATTACATCAAAGTCAACTTATATCCACCCCCTTTATGTATACCCGTTTAATATGGTGTAATAACAATACAGTTCTGAAGGGTTACAAGTGTCATCTTCCCTTACAGGGATGTAAAACAGTTTGCCCTTATTAATAACATGTTGCTTCTTTCTGTCCCCTTTACCTTTTTATGTCTCAAATTTTTTGTTGAGCTCTGGTCTTTTTATCAGGAAGGTTTTGTTGAATATTTGCCTCCTCCCTGAAAGATCATGCACATTTTTGCTGGGTAGTTGATCCTTGGTTGTAATCCAAGCTGCTTTGCCTTATGGAATACCATATTCCAGGCCCTATGGTCTTTTCATGTAGAAGCTGTAAGGTCCTATGTAATCCTGACTGTGGTTCCATGATATTTAAATTGTTTTGGCTGCTTGCAGTATTTTCTCTTTGACCTGGTAATTTTAGAATTTGGTTACCATATTCCTTGGCGTTTTCAATTTGGGATCTCTTTCAGGAGAATCTTTCAGGTGGATTCTTTCAATGGCTTTTTTACCTTCTGGTTCTAGGATCTCAGGGCAGTTTTCCTTCATGATTTTCTGAAAGATATTGTTCAGGCTCTTTTTTTCAGTGTGATTTTCAGGTAGACCAATAATTTTTAAATTGTCTTTGCTGGATCGATTTTCTAGGTCAGTTGTTTTGCCAATGAGGTATTTTACATTTTCATCTATTTTTTCATTCTTTTGTTTCTGTTTTACTGATTCTTGCTCTCTCGTAGAGTCATTAGCTTCCATTTGCTCAATTCTAATTTTTAACAAATTATTTTCTTCTATTAGATCTTGTACCTCCTCCCTCATTTGGCCAATTATATTTTTTAGAGACTTGTTTTCTTCAGTGTACTTTTTTTCCAGTTGGCCAATTGTAATTTTTGTTTTTGTTTTTTTGTTTTTTGGCTAGGCAATGGGGTTAAGTGACTTGCCCAGGGTCACACAGCTAGTAAGTGTTATGTGTCTGAGGCCGGATTTGAACTCAGGTCCTCCTAACTTCAGGGCTGGTGCTCTATCCACTGTGCTACCTAGCTGCCCCCGGCCAATTGTATTTTTTAAGGACTTGTTTTCTTCAGTTAATTTTTGTCCTTCCTTTTCCAAGCTATTGATCCTCTCTTGCATACCTCTCATTTCTTTTCCCATTTTTTCTTCTACCTCTCTCATTTGACTTTTAAAATTCTTCTTGAGCTCTTCTAAGAAGGCTTTTTGGGCTTCAGACCAGTTCATATTCCCTTTTGAGGTTCCAGATGTGTTTGTTGACAATGTTGTCTTCTTCAGAATTTCTGCCTTGATCTTTACTCTTCCCATGATAAGAATCTATCGTACATTTCTTTTTGCTCATGGTGTTTGCTTATTTCTTGACCTTTAAAGAGATTGAGCTCTCCTACTGGGGAGCAGAAGGCATTTGACCCAAGCTTCTTGTATTGGGAGCCTAGGGCCTGGTCACTGGCTTTGTGTGCTGGGATCTCTGATGTTGGCTGTTGGAGGCTGTAGGGTTCTGGCAGCTTACCTGGTGTTGGGCTGGAATCAGCAACACTGGAACTCCAGGGGTAGGTAGGTAGGGGTAGTGTGGCTCCTGGAGATTTCCTGTTCACCTGGGCCTTTCCTTTCTTTCGCTTTCTTCAGCTCCTTTCAGATGGATGTTGTAGAGTGTTTATCCACCTGGGACCCCTTGGAGTGCTGTTTCTCTTAGTTTTGCTGAGGCATGAGAGATCCGGTTGCTGTAGAATGCCGAGGCACCTGGTAGTTTTCCAAGCTGGTTTCCACTGGTTTTCTGCCGTCACTGAGGCAGTCGGGGGTCCAGGTGTGGGTGTTTGCCTGTTCTACCACCTGGGTTTCAGGATCTCCTCCTGGTATGGTGAGGTGGGGCTTTCCGCTAGCTTGCTGGGATACCTCCTGTTCTGTACTGCTCCCCTTCCCCCCCGTTAATCCCTCAAGCTACCTGGGCTACCATGGGGCTGCTCCCCATCTTTCTTCTGGTTCAGTTGTTCCAGGGTTTTTCCTGCTGTGATATTTTCTGGGCTTTCAGAGGTTACTAAGGGAGGGTAAGAGGAAAGACATGTTAAAAGAGAGGTTCTCCCTTTAGCTTTGGAATGAGGGCTCTGAGTTGGAGGAGCTCCATTCAGTTTCTCTTGCCTGTTTTCATTCCTCTAGCTTGGCAGAGGTCCCGTATCCGACATGTTATCGGTGCTCTCCTTTTCAAGGGTCCCAGGGTTCTGGGGTTAGTGAGCAGGCTGTAATCTGCTACCTTCATGCTAGGTCTCTCTGAGTGCAGTAACTGATAGGGGTGAAAGTATGAAAGAGGGATGCGGAGGGCTTTTGTGGTCCCATTTGCTGTAGTCACAGTCTAGTCTCAGACGGGACTCTTACCTGATTTTAGGGGTGAGAGCACAAATCAAGGGAAAGTTAATATGGGATAAATGTCAATTAATTGGCAAGTGTCAGGAGATTGGCCTTGGGTTATCTCCAAAGTGAGGAGCCACAGAGGTGTTTGTAGGCTGTTGCCCCTTTCTCTCCCTCTCTCCTGCCTTGGCATGCTTCATGTGAAATTCTAATTCACATTCCACAGGGGAGGCGGAATGAACTTCCAAAACAGAGATCTACCAGTCGGGTGGTGGTCTTACTTGGCTATATATAAATGTGTGTGCGCAAGGATGTGTTTTATGAGAGCTGGAATCACTTCTGTGTTGGTTCATCTACACTCCTTGGTGAGGAGGGACATCACTTGCAGTTACAAGATCCGAAAAAGCAAAACCATACCTTTACGTACGTAATCAATGAGAAGAGGATGGAGCTCTAGGGACCAGATGTTAGTTTTGTTAGCTCTGCTGCACAAATACAGAATGATTGCTTGGAGGAATGGGGAAAAGGAAAAGCCGTTTGTGGCCATTAGCCCTGCAGGAAGCCGGGGATTATGCTTGGTGGGGCTATGAGGAAGAGTAGCCTCCCAGGTGTGGGAGATTGCATGGGCCAAAGCTCGAAACCAGGAGCAGGTCAGTCTTGCTGAAATGTGGACTTTGGAACGAGGCAGACTCAACCAGAGAGAGGCTAGAGCCAGAGTGTGGAGGACTAGAGGCCGTAGGGAGCTGTCAGAGCTTCTTGAGCAGGGGAATGACCAAATACGCTCCAGGAATATCAGGTTAGCGGCTGTGTGTGAGGGGGGTTGGAGTGGGGAGGACATGGAGAAGGGGGCAATTAGGAACGTATTGCAATAGCCACATGAGAGCTGATGAGGGCCTGAGCTACCCTGGCGTTGGTGCCTGTGTGAGTGGAGAGAAGGGAACAGGTAGGAAACACTGTGGAGACAGAACAGGCAGCAGTAGGCCCTGACTGGCCCTGGTGGTGGGTTAGAGGGCCAAGAATTGAAGGTGGCACCCAGATTGGGTAGGATGGTGCTGGCGTTAGAAATTGGAGCTCAGGAGACATGAGGCCTGGGTGCCTGTAAGACTTTGATGAAGTCATTTTTCTGGACCTTTTCTTTGTCTTTAGGATGAGGGGATTGGACTAGATGAGGTCACTCCACTCCTTGGCCTCGGTTTGCTTTTCTGTTCTCCACAGAAGGTAGCACAACTTCCTCTCTGTGATTGCCCTCCAGGACATGGCCCACTGACATCACAGCAGGAAAGGGGTGGAGAAGGGGTCAGGACTCCCTCCTGCCAAGATCAGTTTTGCCCGACTGGAGCTCCTATGCTCCTTCCACGCCATCGCGAGCTGCTTGCCCCATCCCCTCTGGCTCAGCCCCTTCCCTACAGTCAGATGCTGGATACCGATGCCCAGCTTGTTTGCCTGCTGCATTCAGGGGTGGGTCCAGGTTTCCTGAGTGCAGGCCCAGCCTCTATCCACTGTTCCACCTAGCTGCCTTGTTGGTGAATTCTCCATTTACTGACTGGCTCTCCCTTTAGCCACCCCCCTAGGCTGGGGCAGGAGTCAGACTTTAGGTGCTCCAGGGACAGTTTTGTAACTGTTGTGTGAAGGTATAGATCAGGAGAGGCAAACCAGTGGCCTCGAGGCCACATGAGGCCTCCGATCTAGGTTGTCCCCGTCATTAACAGAATAAGGTAACCGGAGCCTTCTGCCTGGTACAGATACAAATGTTTATTCTACATAAAAACTTCACAAAATGGGCAGCTGGTTGCACCAAGAGCTTTGGTGAGAAGGGAGATGGGCAGGGCAGCGGCTGAAAAGGCAGCACAGGACAGTGGTCACGGTCACGGTCACTGGGCTGGAGCAAAGGGCGGGGGCACAGATAGCACGGATACAGCCCTGGCCAGGGCGCCATGCACACGCAACACATTCACACACACACACTCCACCCGGGAAGAACCCGTGCCTGCCCACAGAAAGGAGGGAGAAATGGGGCGAGGGCCGCTTGAGGTGGGAATTTTGTTTTTAAACTTCCCCCAAAGTCCCAAACAGTGAGAAGAGAGGGCCCCCCTGCTGGCTGTTGGATACTGTGTCAATGAGACCCCCGTCAAACCTGGCACAAGGCACATCAAGCGAGGGAGAAGGCGGAGGAGGGGCACGTGACGGGCACAGTGAAGCATGGGAGGCAGGGAGCATGCCCTGTACGTGCAACATACACGGGGCACGGGGACCCTCATCCCCAAGGGCTGAGGGTAGCCGGAGCAAAGGACTAGACGAGGGTGCTGGAGGCGACTCCCTCCAGGACAGCTCCGTCGAGGCCTTGCCGGCCGCTCCCTTCCCCATCCCAGGATCCCCAGGGGGAGGGGGAACAGAGGCTGGGCAGCTGTGGGTTCCAGGAAGGCCCCCCTGGGGGGAGGGGCAGGAGGAAGTTTCCCCCTTCAGGCTTGTGGGGTGGATGGAAGTCAGGGACCGGCCTGCATGTTGATTTTTCCCTAGGCTCTCACGATGATGAGCCAGAGGCTGTGAGTAAGCGCTGGAGAGGGTTGGAGGTCCAAATCCTGGGCAGCGCCCTGAACCCAGCCTGGCAGTGATCAGCAGTGTTACCCCACTGGTCCCTCAAGTCTCCCCCCTCCCTGAGAAGTGGGCAACAGCACCAAGTGGCCCCTACCCTATTTTGGCCATTGCTAGACTTGATACAGGAAGGGGTGGTCAAAGGTCAGAGAAAGGGGCAGAGGCCTGGAGCTTGTGGAAGGAGTGATACGAGCCCTGAGCTAGGAGGGAAACTGCCAGGACCGGGAAGATGGGTCTGGCGGCTCCGCCCAGGCTGGACGTCACTAAGGGAATAAATGGGGGGATCTGGAGTGTCAGGTGCCTGGCCTGGCCTCTCTTCTGCAGGCCCCTTGCACTGGGGGGGGGAATCTGAGGAATTCTCAGTGGCCTCTTGGGGTTTCTGGGCCTGGTGGCTGCTCCTTCCCTTTCTTGATTCCATTCCTTGGTTTTCCAGTCGTGTAGCTACAGCCCTAGCCCTTTCTAGCCCCGTCTTCCATCCCCTGTCCCACCCCACTCCCACATTCTGTCCCCTCGTCCCCCAAGGTCCAAATGCCCCTTCCACACAGACACACACAGTGTTACAATGAGATCATGCACATGACATGGCTCAGCTGCTCTGGGAGGGGGCCAGCCCTTGTGGTGTGGGGGGAGGGGAGCGGGACATGAGCACAAGGGGGGGAGGGGCAGACGCTTCCCCAGGGGCCTCAGTGGTTAGCAGCAGCTGTTGGCACCTCCTCGTTGTGGACGGTCCAGGGTGGAGATGGAGGGGGAGTCTATCCGAAGATCCCCCCAAATGTGGAAGCGATGATGATGCCCAGGATCACACAGCAGATGATGATCATGATTTTCTTCTACAAGGGAAGGAAAAACAATGGGTAGAAGAGTGGGAGGAGAGGGGGAGGGGCCCATGGAGGCCGGGATGGCGAGAAGGGGAGCCCAGCTGGGGCTCGGAACCTGCATCTGCTTCAGGAAGAAGCCAGGGCGGGGGGGGGGATCCGAAAGGAGGAGCGAGCCCAGCCCCGGCCCCACTCACCCTTCGGGCTTTGCTCTGGTATTTGACAGCCTTCTTGGTGTCTGACACAGCCCGCTCCACATAGTCCACTGAATGTTCCACGTTGTACTCGATGCGGTCAATCATCTCACCCTGTGAGGCCAAGGGGGGCCAAGCTGGAGGGGCAGCCCCTCCTTACTTGGCTCTCCGAGAGTGGGTTTGGGGCTGGTTCTGGACTTTACAGGGCGCCCTGATGCAGAAGAGAGGAGAGAAATCGGGGAGGAGAAAGAGGAAGGGGAGGGGGAGGCTGCGTCTTCAGGGGCATGATTTTGGACCTATAGCCCTGAAGCCAGGGCTCCCCAGAAATTGACAGTTACATCCTGGCAAGAGATGAGCTACTGGGGTTCTGGCTCCCCCAAGGCATGCTGGGGAAAGTGGGACACTTCTCATCCCAGGGCCCAAGAAGCAATCCAGGCAGAAGAAGCCCCCACCTTTGGGGAGGGTACAGAGGAAGAGGAGAGCCAAAAAAGCAAGCCCCTGATTTCCACCCATATGCTTGGCTCCCTGAAGGAGTAAGGGGAGGATTGGGAGTAATCAGTCAGTCAGTCAGTCAGTCAACAAACAGTTAAGTGCTTGCTATGTGGCAGCTGCTAGGGAGACAAAGGAAAGTAAAAAAAAGTCCTGCCCTCCAAGAGCTTATGTTCTTGTGGGAGGAGACCACACGGTTCTTCACAAGAGGGCAGAAAGAGAAGGACCGAGCTTCAGGAGACCGAGGGCTAAATTCCAGGTGATCCTAGAGACAGGTAAGTCACTTTTCTCTCTGAGTCTGCCCCCTTTCCTCATCTGTAAAATGGGGTTGAAAATCCTATCCTTCTCTTCCCAGGGTTATTGTGAGAGTGTTTTATAAGCTTGAAACTGCCACAGAAATATGAGCTTATTCTCCTACTCTATATTTGCCCTCTCTGTAAAAATGGGGGTGGGGTGGACTGCACAGTCACTAAGGTCACAGTTCTGACATCCTATGTATGATTTGATGACTCTGTGTGTGTGCGTGTGTGTGTATGTGAGGGGCACGTCCATGACTGAATTATGTAGGTGCTCAGGCCCTACCGGGCCTAACCATGCCAGATATCCATGCTGGAATCCAAGCTTGGGAGATCCGGCCATGCAGGGGCTGGGGTCCTGGAGGGGCAAAGTCATGCAGAGAGGCCACAGCAGGTCCAGCCATGCAGAGGGCAGGCCCTGGGGGTAGGTCCTAGGAGGAGGCACATGCAGTCATTTATTTGTTACCTGAGGGCTCCGTCCAGGGGCAGCGTGTTGGACAGAAATGGTGGCAGGTGAGGTTAGAGGCCCCCTCCTCCACACCTGCAGGGGCTGGCTGAGGCATTCGGGTCCCCCCCCACCTCCCACCGCACATACACACGTTAGTCTCAGCCTCCCTCGGTCGCCTGGGATGGGGCGCAGGATGGCTGGGAGTCTGGAGGGCTCAGCCCTGCGTCCCCTCACTGCGGGGGGAAGCTCACCTGGCTCTCCACCAGCATGGCCATGTCTGTGAACATGTCATGAAGCTCCCGGATGCTGTTCTCTAGTTTAATGATCTCGCTATGCCTCGTTTCAATTTCGCTCAGCGCCTGCTTTGTGATGTTGGAGTCCATGATGATCTGGGAGAAACAGGAAGAGCCTTTGGTGTGGAGGCTAGCCCAACCAAAGACTTGCTTGGGGCCTTGATACACTAGAGCTGAGGTCGGAGACCTGGATTAGCGGTGAGGACTAGAGGGGATTCCTGGGAGCCTAAAGCTTGGAGCCTCCCTCGTCCCACTCCAGGGCTGTTTTCTTTCTTTGGAATTTTTGTTATTTTTATTATGAACCCAACAAAAATGAGCCTATTTACACACACACACACACACACACACACACACACACACACGGACAGAAAATGAGTATTACAAAACTGCAAAGCATTGTTTTTCCTTTTAAATATAGAGTTCATTTGTCTTAACCAAAAACCAATTAAAAAGTTTCTCCATATATAACATGGAACATTAAATGAGTATTTTATATGAAACTGTGACTATTATGTATACCTTGCTTTTCCTTTCAAATATATAATAAATCTGGGGCTGCTAGGTGGTGCAGTGGATAGAGCATAGGCCCTGGAATCAGGAGGCCCTGAATTCAAATTTGGCCTCAGACACTAGCTAGCTGTGTGACCCTAGGCAAGTTACTTAACCACCATTGCCTCAAAAAAAAATACATATACATATATATAGATATGTATGTATGTATATATATGTGTATGTAAAATCCAAAATGGACCTTTCAAAACTGTGTTTCTGGCCTTCAGTTTTTGTCTGTGCATTTAAAAAATGCAGTCACGCTTTTCTTTCTTCCCCTTTCCCCTTTCCCTTCCCTTCTGCCTTTTCCTTTCTCTTCCTTTCCTCCCTTCTCCTTCCCTTCCTTCTCCTCCTCCTCCTTTTCTTTGTCTCTCCCCACCTTTCTCTCTATCCCTTCTTTCCTCCCTTTCTTTTGGGAAACCCTATCCCTGGCACTCCTCTCCCTGAAAAGAGCTGCCACGTCCTAATTTTCTCCCTGCTAAATATCCCAATTCCTTCCACTAAGCCTCACATGCTGAGATCTAGAGGCTGGTAGTGATTTTGGTGGCTGTCCTCTGGATACTCACTACCTCATTCATGTCCCTCCTAACCTCTTGAGCCCAGAAGTGAATACAGAGCCCTAGAGATGCCCTGAGCAGATCAGAGTCTGATGAGACTCTCAGCTCCCTCCCTGTGGATGTTCTGCCTGTCTTACAGTAGCTTAGGGTAGGAGTCTCTTTCTTAACTGTCATATCACACCTTGGGCTTGTAGTCCACTAAAATTTTTATATCTTATTCAGAGGAGCTCAGTTTTGGACCCCAAATGTAAGACTTACACTTATCCTCCTGAAAAGTCATCTTATTAGATTTGTCCAAGCATCCTAGGCTGTCAAGAGCCTTTGGGATACTGATTCTGTCTCCCATCCCATTAGCGATCCCTGCTGGGTCTGTGTCATCTGCAAATTTGATCTGAGGCTTTGATAGACAGATGGTGAAGACACAAGCCTGAGCTCACATCCTTTGAATCCAGCAGTTTTTTCTCTCACCCTGCCTTGGTGCTTCTGGGTCCAGGGAAGAGAAAGCCAAAATCCCCCTGGCATCCTCCAAATGCAAATGCATTGCCATTCTTCACCACCTGCCTCCTACAGGAAGCCTTTCTATATTTATCCTAGGTAGTCTTGTAAGAAAGAGACAGTGGAGACTAGAGGAAGGAGGTGGCCTTGGAGTCAGGAAGACCTGGGTTCAAATCTACCTTGGCCACATCCTGGCTTTGTTATCCTGGGCAAGTGACTGAAATCTTTCAGTACTTCAGGCAAATATCTAAGACTTCTGGTGTCCATCTACATTGGTAGAGAGAGTTCCTAACTGGGAACTCCTGATAACAATAAAATTCATCAACATTTATTAAGCACCAACTGTATGCCACACACACTGCTGTGCATTGGAAAAGTTAAAAAAAAGGACACAAGTAGTGAGGGTAATAGGACCATCCAGAATCAGGATCATAGATTTCAAGCTGGAAGAGAGCTTAAAGATCATCTAAATTTGTAGAGGGGGAAACCGAGGCCCAGAGTGGTGAAGGTACCGTCCCCAGTCATGGGAGCTTGAATTCCCATCTAAGCCTCCCCTTTGTAGACTGGGCTTTGTCTCTGTCTACAAAGGATGTGCAGTCTCCCTTCTGAGAACAAAAGGTCATGAGGTGACAGGGATGGGAGGGGCTGTCAGAGGAACCAAGCCCCTCACTGAAAGAGGAGGAAGGCCAGGAAGGTGAAGGTGACCCTGCTGAGTCAGGATCTGAACCCAGGCCCTTGGCCCCCAAAGCCATTGCTTTAGGTGCCTAACCACACTGCCTCTGGAAAAAGAAAAGGGCCCCAGCTTGGACCACTTACCCCTGAAGCAAAGATGGCAGGGTTCCCGCTCTCCAGCATGTTCTCCAGCTCCTCACTCGTGGTGGTTCTGCCAGCTGTATGTAGGAGAGAACCCAAAGGAGGTGAGACAGACATCTTTCTGTTCCCCTCCCTCCTCTCCTTAGCCTGGCCTCCTTAGCCCTTCCCAACCACTGCGCCAAGGGCATGGGGCCTGCCCACCCCTGCTGGCCCCGCTGTGCACTCACTGATCTCCAGCTGCCTTTGGATTCGGCCTTTGCAACGCTCCCTGTAGTCAGACTGGGTGGCATTATACTCGGACATGACCTCCACAAACTTCCGGGACAATGTCGAGTGCTAGGAGGTAGCAGGCAGGCAGATGAGCTCCGGCTCTGATGGCTGGCTGCCAGCTTCCTAGGATGACCTGGAGCCAAGCGCTCCCCCGCCCCATGTATCCCACACCCTACCCTCTCACCTGTGTCTTCCGAATTCTTAGATCTGCAGATGACCTGTTCAGTCCCTCCTCCTGCTCAATACTCTGCTCAATACCTAGGGAGGAGCAAGGCTTCTGGTTCAGTCTTACAGCCTGAGGCCCCCCACCCAGGTGAGATCTGGTGTCACCTTCTTCCTAGGCTGGAGAGTGAAAAGCACTAATCCTCCCCCACCTTCACCCTACTTCAGGAAGGGATGTAGACCCATAGGCTGGAGATGAAAGGGACCAAGCCTCTAGCTTTACAGATGAGAAAACTGAGGCGGAGAGAGGGGAGGTAACTTGCTCAGGGTCACATAGCTTAATACATAAATTAAAAAGAGAGGTAACCTGGAAAAAGCACTGACTCTGGAGCCAGAGGAGCTGGGTTCAAATTATTCCAGAGAGTAATGGTTACCACCTGTGTGACCTTGGGCAACTCACAACTTCTTGGGGTCTTAGTTATCTCATGTGTAAAATGGAAAGGTTGGTCTAGGTGACCTTTGAAGCTCTGGGCCTCAGTTTCCTCATCTGTAAAATGAAGGGGGTGAACTAGATGACCTCAGAGGCCCAGTTCTAAGTAGTAATTCTAGGCTTATAAGTGGCAGAAGCTAGACCAGAGCCCAGGACTCCACAGCTCCAAGACTGGTGCTCTTGTGACCCCAACACAGACTCAGAATCAGAGGATGTCAGTTGGAATTTGCTGTTTAGTCATATCCAACTCACTGTGACCCCATTTGGGGTTTTCTCATCAGAGATACTGAAGTGGCTGGCCATTTCCTTCTCCAGCTCATTTTACAGATGAGGAAACTGAGGCAACAGGTGAGTTGCCCAGGATCACACAGCTAGTAAGTGTCTTGAGGTTGGATTTGAACTCAGGTCTTCCTGACTTCAGGCCTGGTGCTCTATGCACTATGGCGCCATCTAGCTGCCTTGAGTCAGTTGGAAACAGACCCCTGAAAATCATCTAGGCTAATCCCCTCATCTTACAGGTGAGGGTACTGCAGGCCAGTGATAAGCCCAGGATCACACAGTGAGTCAGTGATGGACCCAGGACTCAAACCCAGGTTTCCTGAGGCCCATTTCAGCTCTTCCCACTCATTTGACCAAATGAAAATAAACACAAAAGCAAATAATCATACTGCCATTTGTACCACGCTTTTAGGGTTTTAAAAGCATGTTCTTACATCATTGGTTGTGAGGTCTAGAGCTGGAAGGCACCTCCGAGGCCAGCTAGTCCAACCCTTCATTTTTCAGATGGGGAAACTGAGGCCCACAGAAGTTAAGAGAGTGTTACCTTACAGGGTTACCTTCTTTCTACTTTTGGTACCTTAGGAGCAGCGAGGTGGCAATGCATAGAGCTCTGTGCCCACAGTCGGGAAGACCTGAATTCAAATCTGACCTCAGACACTAGCTGTGTGACCCTGGGTAAGTCACTTCACCCTCTTTGCTTCAGTTTCCTCATCTGTAAAATGAGCTGGAGAAGGAGATGGCAAACTGCTCCAGTATCTCGGCTAAGAAAACCTCAAATTGGGTCATGGAGAGTTGGACAAGACTGAACAATATTATGTATATATCATATATAGAGCTATCTACTTACACGTAGACTCCCCTATTAATATTTAAGCCCCTGTTTTTGTCTTTTTTTTTTGTATCCCCAGCACTTAGCACAAGGCCTGATGTATAGAAAGCAATTAGTAAATGTTTACTGATTGACTGTACAAGATCACACAAGGAGTGATATGGGTAGAACCAGGATTCAGATCCAGGGCCTCTGATTCGAAGGGTCTTTCCACTACACCACACTGCCTCCTTTGCTTACCCACTGCACCAACCTGCCCCTAAGTGACCAAGTTTGGGAAAGATTTCCTAAAAGGTTTATGTTTGCAAGACCTTGGAAAGGGAGCAGAAGGTGAGGCTGCATCCAGAGAGCCCAGGAGGTATACATCTTGGTAGAATGGGTCTCACTTTAACCAAACCCAATATATGAAAGTAAGGGAGGAGGGAAGAGAGGGAGAAATTTACAAAAGAATGCTTCTTTTTACACACGGAGTTCAAGGCATAGTATTTTTACATCACTAAGAGCTACCCCCCCTCTTTTCACAGTAAAAATAGAATTTGATTCACACTCAGGGGTTCAGGAACCCAACAGCAGCATGAAGTGAGGTAGACTCATTTAGAAGCAGTTGAGGGCTCCAAAGGGTGCCCCCCCCAACCTCCCCCTCCCCCATCACATACTCACTCTTTAATTTGGATCGGACTTTGTTGGCAGTCTTTTTTATGTCTGACATGAGTTCTTCCAGCTCTTCTTTTGTCTCTAGTGGTGTGGGGAGGGGAAGGGAAGGAAGAGGAGATAGAGTTCTTAGGGCTGAGAGAAGTCCACTACCAGTCCTGCTCCCTCCCAGCCAGGCTCAACCTGTGGGGTGAAGGGGGAATTCAAAGCAGGAGCTCCTGGGTGCCCTCTGGTGTCTCTCTCACTCCACCCCCAATGCCTACCAGTGAAATTTTGCTGGGGAACAATTTAAATGGCTCTTAATCAAAAGGTGAATTCTCCACCCAGGTTTTCTGAGGCACCACCCCCTTATTCAGCACCAGGGACAGGGACCGGAGTAATTGGCATGCTTAACCTTTTAGATAGGGGAAGTAGCTTGGAGGGCATTCTTGTCTCCCCACCCCCCACCCCCCAGTTTTTTTGTCCTCTGAAACACTCTTGCCCCTGCCTCTCCCATTCCTTCAAGTAACAAATGAGTGGGGGCTAAATTTAAGGCAGGAACAATTGTGGGAGCAGCTGGCTTTGTAGGCACATTTAATTGAGGTTTGGTGCAGAGAGGGGTGGGCCAGGTGCCATAGGGAATCAATGCTCTCTGTGGCCATGGAGGGAATGGTTCCTGGATAGGATGGGCCCCCTTTTCACCTCTTTACAACCCAGGAGAGGCTCTGGCAGAAGGCACAAGTGTGGGGGCCCTTGCCTCTGTGTGTGTACTATGTAGCAATGTCCTGTACCTCTGGACACCCTGTCCTTTAGGATGTCACTCCTACCCTGGCCGCACCACTGGCATAGCCTCCTCTTCTTTTTCCCCCTCCTTGCCTGGCTCTAAGCCCTTTCCATTCCTCATACTTAGCCCCTTCTCTGCCATTCCTAACCCTGAGATCCTTTTATGCTTCTCATCTCAGACAGCTCCCATTCCAGGCATCTATCACCAGGTACTCTAAGGGTGGTGATGGTGGGGAAGTTCTGGAATTTGTGTTCCCTTCTGCAAGAGCCCAGGAAAAATCCTTCCACTTGCATCCCAGGGCCAATTTCCTCTCCCCAAACCTCAAAAAGCTCATGGAAGTAATCACACAAACCCTACTCTTGGCACGACGGTGGGTTGGCTGTCTGTTCTCATGGAGAAGAGTGTATGTGTTAGGGCATGGAGGGCAGCTGAGTAGCAGAGCCCCAGAGAGCAGAAACTTCCCAAACACAGAGTCATGGGAGAGGGAAGTTTCCGGGGGTGGGGTGGGGTGGGAGTGGGGAGTGAAAAACTGTCTATAGGGGTTGGAATGAGACCAAAGAGGAGGAAGAGATGGCTAAACAAGAGCCTTGTTACCCCTTACTGAGGGGAAAATTCATTTAATAGCTATACTATCAACTGGGCCTTCCTGTTCAAATGAAAAAGAAAAATAACAGGACTGACATCCCAGTCCCTAGAAAAGGGGAGTACAGAATCATAGAGCTGAAAGTGATTTAGTGCATTTCTGAGGAGGAAACTGAAGCCCAGGGAGGTTAAATGATTTTCCCAAGGTCACATGGTAACACAGGTAGGCAGTGGTAACCTCAGCTCCCCTCACTGTCCCCACTGGGCCATCCCTTCCTCCACTCTGTTCCCCATTTCAGCTTTCCTAAGTCCTCAAATGCTTAGCTCTTTTTCCCCTACTGAGTTAAATGTCCTAATGGGGGAAACTGAGGCATGAAGGCTACCCCCCCCCATGCCAAGGGCTGGAAGGAAGGTCAGTCAATGTTTTTAGTGGAGCTTGGCTGACTCTTTCCCAACTCTTAGGGCTTTGGCTACACCAGCCCTCCCCCTACAGGACCCTTTCACCTTGGGGGGAAGGGAGATTTTGGTGTCTGTTCTCACTAGATTCAGCAGTTTCTGTTCTGAGACCTGATCATATTTTGTGTGTGCACACAGCTGTGGAAGGGGGAGGTCCATGCCTGTGAGGGTGAGTGTGAGGGGCTGTTGGAGGGAGGCAAGGGAAAGAGAGAACATGGTTAGCCCGACCTTCTCCCTCCCCCTTGAGAAGCTTCCTAGGGAAGAAGGAAAGTTACAACCACGTAAAACACAGACACACACTCCTAATGGAATCCTGCTCTTCTCTGCTCCTCATCCAAGCAGGCATACCTGCATGTGTGTATATACAGACACATGCACAAACATACTATTAATGTAGTCCTACTTATCTCTCCTCCTCCCCACTTTTCCAAGGATGACATCTGAGAAGTCTATTCAATTCAGACCATAGCTGCTTCCTCCTCCTTGTCTCTCTCATCTCTCTTTGTCTTACTGCTGACTATTTTTTTTTTGGGTTAGGCAATTGGAGTTAAGTGACTTGCTCAGGGTCACACAGCTAGTGCCAAGTATTTGGTCTGAGGCTGGATTTGAACTCAGGTCCTCCTGACTTCAGGGCTGGTGCTCTATCTACTGCACCACCTAGCAGTCCCCTGACTCTTAATAATACTTGTGACACTCCTCACCTACTTGAAGGGTTATCCTGCCTTCCTCCCCTCCCCAGGAAAAATTTCCCAACAATTAGTTACCCCAAAGTAGTGTAGTGGGGGTTGGATGGAAGTATACCCCATAGAGCATGTATTAAGCTCACAGGCAACATCTGGGGGCAGATGTGGCTCAATGCTAAAGGACATAGGGTTCTGGGTAATGCAGAAATCCCTGGGTGGTCCCTTGGTATATCCCCACACCAAGCGCAATGAGGCATATCCCAATTTTACTCTCAATACAGTGGGAACCACAAAGATGATAGAATCAGACCTGGAATAATAGTGACAGCTAACTTTTCTCTAGTTCCTTACACATATTATCTCATTTCTAGTCCAACCCCTCATTTCCAAAGGAAGAAACCGAGGCCCTGAAATCAGATGTGACTTACCTCCCTAGGGCCACACAGGCAGCAAAGTGGGAGAGCCAGGGTTGGAATTTGGGTCTTTTGGCCCCAAACGGGGCCCTCTTTCCATTATACTTGTGATCTTTGGGTGGCTCCCCTATTCTAGAAGGAAATCCTTGCTCGGGTTATAGGACCTGAGGATTTTGAGACGTTAAAAGAGGTCTTTAGAGATCATCTCATTTTATAGATGTGGAAACTGAGGACTGGGGAGAGGTAAATTACTTGCCCACGGCTACCCAGGTAGTAAGTGACAAAGGTGACACACAAAGCCATCCTGTCCAGCCTTCGGGATAGTGATAAGCCCTTCACAGCCAGCATCCTTACTACTGTCCTGACAGGCTGGAATGGATGGACCTCTGAGGGCCTTTCCAACTCTGTGATTCCAGGCTTCTGGAGGGATATTAATGATTAACTGATTTTTCTCAAATACTCTTTCCAATTGCCCTAAAAATGAGACACATAAAAATAAGAGTAGGGCATGGACTGTTTCGTATTTGTCTTTGTACTCCCAGCACCAAGTACAGTTCCGGGCTCATTAAGAAAGCTTCCTCACTCATTTCTGACTTTGTAAGGTTCAGGGCTGTGCTTGGGGAACTGTCTGGCCAGGACCACTAGAGAGCACAGTGGATAGAGCGTTAGGAAGAGCTGAGTTCAAATACTGTCTCAGACACTATCTCTGTGACTCTGGGAAAGTCACTTCACCTCTGCCTGCCTCAGTTTCCTTATTTGTAAAATAGGGATAAGAACAGCACCTCCCACACAGGGTTTCTGTGAAGATCAAAGATGACATTCAGTAGGAAAGGGCTCTGTCAATCCTTAAAGGCTATACAAATTCCAACAATTATTTAAAGGCACAGGGTAATCAATGAATGTTGGAGAAGGGCTGAGGGCTGGAAATGGGGGGCAAATGTCAACTTGGGGGGCTAGGGAAGAGGTCCCATCCCTGGGGTTGTGCTGCTGGGCTGTCCTCTATGCCCCCAACACACACAGTTTTCTCTAAGAGGACAGTTGGTAAACCCAACATCATTCCAGTGCCCTCTAATAGCTGACGTGGCTGACAGGCAGCAGCAGAGAGAGCCCTGGCCTCTCCTGCCATCTGCTCTTCTTGGGAAGGGGAGGTGTGCCATGCGCATGTGTGTGTGTGTGTGTGTGTGTGTGTGTGTGTGTGTGTGTGTGTGTGTAGCTACCTCATCAGCCTCCTCCCAGACAACACAGCTGCTCCCCTGACTCCAGGACAGGCAGACAGGGTGCTGCCTGCCAATAGGGCAGGAAGGGCGGGCAGGCTGGGAGCTTGGTTGCCAGGAGAGAAGGGGCACAGGTTGGGGAGCTCACTTCTGCTTGCTTCTCTGGGGTAAGGGATCTAGCAAAGGGGAAGAGGACCTGCCTTCAGAGACTTCTGATTCTTCTTCCACCTCCTAACCCTGCCCAAGGAGGCACAGTGGACAGACAATAGTAAGAACATTGACTTTGGAGTAGGAAGACCTGAATTCAAATCCCATCTCTGACACTGACTGCCTGGGTGACCTCGGGTAAATCACTGATTCCTCCAGGCCCCAGCTTTCTTATCTGTAAAATAAGGGGTTTGGACCAGAGGGCCTGTGAGGCCCCTCTCATCTCTCCATCTTTATACTTAGCCCTGTGGCCCCCTGGCCCCATCTCCGGAGCCAGAGACCTTGAAGTCTGCCCTCTCAGGGAAGGCCTCAGTGGGGATCCTCACTCACATGTTCCAAGTGCCCACCCCCACTCACTCTCATCAGGATTGGGGGCAGCAAGGATGGCGCTGTGTTTCCTCTTCACCTCTTCCACATTCTCTGAGATCTTGTCGATGAAACCCCGGATCTCTTCCACCTGGGGAGAAATTTGGGGAGGGGACAAATCAGGGTGGGAGGCCAAGCTGGGCCAATCCTTGCCCTGGATAGATCCAGGGGGTTGGAAGCAGCTTGGGTGGGAATGGAGCAGTGAGCTGGGGGCTGGTCCCTGACATGGAGGGGCGTCAATGTGGCACACTGGTCCATAAATCCAAAGACCTGGATTCTAGTCTCATCTCTTGCTGTGTGACCTGAGGAAAACCATTTCTTCTCTGGGCCTCAGATAACTCTCTGCTGGATAAATAGCTGTCCACCCATCACACCTTATGGGGTTGTTATAAAGATCACACTGGATCTTAGATTTAGAACCAGAAATGACCTCAGAGCCCAGAGAGTATAATCTGGGCCTGAGGGAGAGGGCAGATTAAGTGACTTGCCCCTCTTCATACAGACAGACAGACAGTAAGCATCAGAGGTAAGATTTGAACCCACCTCCCTGACTCTAAGTCCAGAGTAAAGTATTTAAAGTGCTTTGAAAATTAGAAAGCAGTAGATGGATTTTAGGTGGGATTTTGATTCCTTCTCTCTTCAGGACCACCTCTGATGTCTCACTGAGGGTCTCCAGATAGCCTTTAGCTCAGCTCCTTCTCCCAACACTTACATACATCTGAGTACTCAGCTTTGGGGCTGCCTCACCCCATATCCAGAGCCAGACACTGCTCTCAGGGAGGGTTCAGGAGGGATTTGCACCCACATTTTTCCAATCACCCTTTACTCTGATGGTTTGCAAGCAGCGAGGAGGAAGGCTCTGTTTCCTCTTCACTTCTTCCATGTCCTCTGAGATCTTGTTGGGATACATAGATTTATGCACATTGCAACATATGCATGTATAAATACATATATGTATTATCTCCCCTGAGAGAATGTGAGCCTCTATAGAGTAGGGATTGGTTTTTTTTTTGTCATTATCTCCCCCATACTTAACACCGGGCACATAGTAGGTGCTTAATAATTGCTGGTTGAATTAATGATGTAAATGAAAGGGGGTGTCAGAGCAAGGGTGCTGCTCTGAAGGAGTTGATTCAGAGTCCCTGTGTGAGGCTGTGGCACAGCTGGGGACAGGGACAACACCCTGGGCTCCCACCTGCTCAAAGAACTCATCCATGAAGCGGTCTCGGTCCACGGTAACGGTGACCTCATCATCATCGTCGCTGTCCTTTGCCTGCACACAAACATGAGTGGACGTTTATGTAGGTGGAGGTGTACAATGTTCCTACCGATAGACCAAGCCAGGGAAGAAGGGCACCATTGCCACACGCATGCCACCCACCCTTCACTCCCAAAGAGCCCCCCTTAGGCCCCATGGCACCATCCATTGGGAGGTTCAGCCTGGTGCCCTTAATGTCAGGCCACAGGGAGCTGCGCTGAGGTTTCTCAGGGCTGTGTGTAGGTAGGGGAGAGCTGGACGTGACTGCTCCCAGCCTGGACTCCTCTGGGCTTAGACCTCTCCCTTCCTTCATCCTCCAAGTTCTAGTGAGCTCTGCAAAGCAGGGTGGCCTACAGCATGAAGTTCCTGTCCTAGCTCTTGGGGCTTTCTTGGCAGAGACACTGGAGTGGTTTGCCATTTCCTTCTTCAGTTCATTTTACAGATGAGGAAACTGAGGCAAACGGGGTAAAGTGACTTGCCCAGATTTGAACTCAGGAAGGTGAGTCTTCCTGACTCCAGGCCCAGTACTCTATGCACTATGGTGCCACTTAGCTGTCCAGTCCATCAATTATCATCTATCATTTGATAGAATATAAGCCCTCTGAAGGCAGGGGCTGTTTTGTCTTTGTATTAATAGAGATATTTATAAAGAGCTTAGCATAGTGCTTAGTACATAGTAGGCGCTTAATAAATGCTCCCTTTTCCTCTCTCCTTGTATCCGTAGTACCTTGTATAGTGCCTGGCACATAGTAGGTGCTTAATAATACCATAATAGCCAGCATTCATGTAGGTTGTAAGGTTTGCAAAGTGTTTTAGAAATGTGATTTTATTTGATCTTCAAAACAACTGAGAGATGGGTGCAATTATTAACCCCATTTGACAGATGAGAGAATGAAGCCCAGAGGCACTTAAATGCTAGCTGATTTGTCTCTACTTACTGGTGTGTATGTTAATACACTTGATAGAATCCTTGGGGACACAGACTGTTTTACTTTTGTCTTTGTATTCCCAGGGCCAGGCACACATTAGGTGCTTAATGAATGCTTGCTGACAACATTACGACAACATGGCCAGTGCCCTGGTGATGCACTCTACATGAGTTATCACACTTGGGCCTCCGAAAAAAGCCTGGAGGGGCAGCTAGGTGGTGCAGTGGGTAGAGCACCGGCCTTGAAGTCAGGAGAACCCGAGTTCAAATCTGGCCTCAGACCAAACACTTGACACTTACTAGCTGTGTGACCCTGGGCAAGTCACTTAACCCCAATTGCCTAAAAAGAAAAAAAAAAGCCTGGGAAGGTGGAATCATGGGTGTTATCATCCCATCTTTCAGATGAGCAAACTGAGAAAAGGCCTGCCCGTGGGCTTGTTACAAACATAAGTGTCAGAGGGGTGATTCTAACCCAGGTCTCCCGGATTCCAACTTTTAACACCCTCCCCCCACCTTCCTCCTCCACTTTCCCTGGCTCCATCACCTCCAGACCCCATCCTTCTAGGCTGAGGTTCTTAGCCTTTTTTTGTGTCACGGACCCAGGCTCTGGCACTCTGGTATACCCTTTGGACACTTAGAAAAATGCTTTTAAATGCATAAAATAAAATACATAGCATTATAAAGATGGAATGTTTTCCCCCATTCAGTTTCAAGTTCTTGGACCCCCCTGCATTTTTTCCAAGGAGCCCAGCCAGAGAACCACAGTGGCGTCAAACCCCAATGACCCATAAGGATCCCGCAGGCTGCATATTGACTTTGTTTTAAAATGTAAGATTATCTATGTTTAATTGTATTTTTATTTATACGTAATTTAAATGTAATTTTTCCATTACATTTGAATCCAGCTCAGGCCCCATTGTTGTCAGCGGGCAGGGTGTTTGACCCTCTCCAGGAGGGCTGGCCACAGTCATGGGTTTGGCTTTGGGGACTTTGGGAGCAGAGTGGGAGACCCTGAACAGCCTTGCTCTTTTAGGATTGCCACTCAGCTGTTTGAAAGCACAGGGGTGTGGATAGAGAGGCAGCCTTGGGGTCACCAAGACCTGGCAGTGGGCCCTTCCACTGCCCCTGGCTGATGCTGTAATTGCAGAGAAGGCCCAGATCTGTCCTGAGGAAAGCTACTTTCCAGGTGGAAGAAATTGGTGATTGGGTTAAAAAAAAAGTAAAAGGAAAACAAAGAAAACTTGGGGAGCTGGGGGTGGGTGGATGGAGCAGTGGAGGGAGGTGGGAGGAGCCCATGCGGGGTAGGGGTCCCTCATCCTGCTTCTCTCAGGCAGGGCCCCTTAGCTGGGCCTATGTCAGGCAGCTGCCCTGAGAAGTCACATGCTGCTTCATTGCTCTGGGGCTCCAGGCACTGGCGCTTTAATTAAGACAAAGGCTGATTCCAGGCTCCCCTTCTGGGGAGGTCCCTTCGGGAGGAGGCCTGACAGCTGGCCCCAGCTCCCCTCCTGGATTTCTTTACCCTGGGCTGGGTGGGGTTGCCATGGAAGGCCTGGGTAAGGCCATGGATAGGGGGGAGGCAGGGAAGGAAAGGGGCTAGGAATGCCCCAGCTTCTGCCTACCCACCCTGGGGAGATGCAGTGGAAATAAACATTGGGGCCAGCTCCCTGGTACAACTGCCAGTCTTGGGGACATCGACCCAGCTGGAAGACCCTTCCTGCCTCCTTCCTCAATGTGTGAGCAGACACAGCTGGACAGAGGGAACCAGACCAGGCCGCTAGAGGGTAGAAATGGGGTCAGAAGGGCATTTGTAGGGGGAAGACACAGCTGCTTTTCCTTAGGGGGGGTGTGCGTATGTGTGTGTGTGTGTGTGTGTGTGTGTGGTGTGTGTGTGTGTGTGTGTGTGTGTGTGTGTGTGTGTGTACTCGAGCTCAAGGGACAGCAGGAAACCATCTTTCTCATGCAGGTGCCTTGGAACTCCCCTCCCCTAGCCTCCCAGCCCGGGAGAAGGGAGCAGGTGCTGGTGCCCGTGTCAGCCGCCGCCTGTCCGCCCCAAAAGTCACCTCAATCAGGTGTAATTACATCTTTGGCTTCTCTGTCTGCAGACAGTGCAGTCCACCCACCCAGAACTGTCATTACTCTGCCCTTCCTCAAGTGTGTGTCTTTTGCTGTCAGCTGCCCTCTTTCCACTCCCATGGCAGTTTGCCTACCCATCCTGCAGATGAGAAGGTGAGGTCTAGCTGGGATGAGGAGCTGTCCATATTATGGATCCTCATGGACAGTCTTCCCCCATCTGACTGAAAGCTTCACTCCTCAGGGAGGTGGGGACCATGGCTTCACTTTCCGTAGACTGCCCTCCCTCTAGCCAATCTAGGGCTCCCCACATAGCAGGGCTAAGTCCAGGGTGGGGAGGTAGGAGGAGACCAGATAGACGATTCCTGGCCATGAACTTGAAGGCTGCAGCAAGAAAACAGCTTCCACAGGGCATGAAGTCAGGGGCCCTGGACTTGGACCTGGGCTTTACACCCATTAATCGCGTGGCCTTGGGCAAGCCCCTTTTCTGGGCCTCACCTCCCTCACCCATGAAATGAGGGGTTTTGGAGGTGTGAGCCTTCTGAGACAGTGACCTTGAAGGTCAAGGATATCTGAGCCTGCCTAGTGTGGATTTAGGTCTAGTAAGGAGCAGCTGATGGGCATCAAACCCTGGCATTGGAGAGCCTCTGCCCAGGCCTAGCTGCTCAAGGATCCCACTGGGCCCCTTGGGTTCCACTCTTTCCACCCCTCTTCAGCCCTGTATGACCTGAATCAATCCCCACTCTCCTTGCCTCAGTAGAAAAGGGGCAGCGATTGCGGGAGGGGTTCTCTATGTAAGCTATTGAACCCCTGGTCAGCTGTCCTGTTGTCTTCCAGCAGGATTATGGGCCACTCCCCTGGGTCACAGGGATGTACCTGAGGGGATGAAACCCTATTTTCGTTTCACTTGGGCCAGGCAGGTGTCCCAGAGGTAAATGGACCCAAAGGCAGAAGTGAATGCATTCCTAACCTGAATGGATGTTTAATTGTATGCTCTACTGTTCTGAACGGTATCATCTCTGATATGACAGGTGATTCACAGAAATCGTAGGGAGGGATTTCTGCCAATGAGAGATGCAGAATAGAGAAATGCATAGAGTGCTGGACTTGGGGTCAGAAAGAACCTGCATTTAAATCCTGCTTTTGACACTATGTCATCACTTCTCTGAGCCTCAGTGTCCTCATCTGTTAAATGGGGATAATAATACCTGTGGGTTGATGTGAACCCTTGATAAGAGAATGCTGGCAAAGTGCTTTTGCTCATCTCCTGGGCTCAGGAGAGGAAGGGGGAGGCAGTGATGGCTCTCTCACAGTCCATGGGGCACCTCTGCCCCCCCCATCTCAAGCGATGGCTGCCAGGCTCCCCTGGCAGAGGCCAGGGCTCTCTGGAACTCCTGGTCCAAGCTGCTGAGGAGGAGGGAGGAGGGAGGTGGGAGGTGGGAAGTTGAAGTTGGTGAAGGAAGCGGGTGTGAAACATCTCCAAGCCTTCTGCTGCTGGGCTGTCACAGCTCCTCCCACGGCAGCTAAAATAAACCCCTCACTCAGCCTTGCTGCTGCTATGTGGCGCCCCACAGATGGAGAAGCTGAGGGGGATCTCCAAGCACTGAACCTAGTTCTCCTGGGGCTGGTCTGGTCCAATAAAGGTTAGCTAATCTCTCCCCAGGGAAATGGAGGCAAGAAGGCAAGACCTGACTCTCCTTGGACAGCATCAAAGAGAGGCAGAAAGAAGACCCGGGAGTTCTCAACATCAAGCCCCATAGCCTAGCCTCCTCTGTATTCACTTTTCCTTTCTCTGTTCCAAGGGAGGGAGAGAGAGAGACGGGACCAGGAGAAGGGAGTGGCTAGAACCTTTGAAAGAAAACAGGCAGCTTTGTTCTCAAGAATGAATAATGAAAGTCTGGGGCAGAGGTAGACAAAGGGAGGCTGAGTGGCTGCATCACAGGGGACAGTGGGATCCCTACTCAGCCTGGCCCTGGTCCTCCCATGGGTGTCTGGGTGGCAGGCAGGTTTTCCTTCC